TTTTTAGGATTTGTTGTTTTTTTTGCAGGATTTGTTTGAATTCTGTCCTTTCTTTGTCTTGTATTTTTCGGAGTTGCTTTTTGTCTTGGAGGGCCTGTTGTTCTTCTTGCTGGAGTGTCTGTATTTGTTGCTTGACAGCATGCAGCTCTGTTTCTTGTGCTGCTGCTTCTTTGGTAAGCACCAGCTGGAGCTGCTCGAGAGAGAGCCGATCTTTCCTGTGCTTATCAATGGCTACTCGCAATTCTGCTATTTCGCACAATTCCGTATTATGTTTGGAAGTTGCCTGAGCGACTCGGTTTTCTAGAAGGTGGATTTGCTGCTCTGCTTGATAAAATTCCTTGCTAGTTTCTGCCTTATTAAAACAGTATCTTGTCCGTTTCTCATTGTACTCAGCCTGCGCCCTCTCAGACGCGTCGGATAAATCCCATAAACGGCGCTTTTCCAGCTCAAGAAGCCTAGTAGTCTTTTCTATAGCAATCTGTACAGCTGCTAACTCAGCATCCTTTGACACACTAGGAGGAATAGAAATAGGCGGTACAGACGGAGAGCACCCAGGGGGGGCAGCAGCGGCTTCTGGAGCCTCTCCTGTCATTGCGTAGCTTTCTTATACTGACGTACAAAAAACAAAAAAAAGAGATCACTCAAGCTCGCTAGCAGCAAGTCGTGGTAGCCTAAACACCATCACGCAGCAACGGGAACAGCGGCAAGAGCAACAACATGAGCAGCAGCCACCAGCAAGAGCAGGAGCGCAGCGGTAGCAGCGCTGATGAGGCAAGGGAGGAAGTGCATTAGGAATCACTCTTCTTTTCCTCCTCCACTAAACTTTCGTCATTTTTCACATAAATTATAATACGAACAATACCATGACCAACCACAAAGCGAGCTGCATGCGCCCGACTCTAGCAGCCTTTCGGGCTGGAAGGGGCCCCACGCTGTAGCTGGTGACTGCCTCCGGAACGGCAGCCTAAAGCCACAACAATACATACACATGCATGTAGGTATATAATCTAAATCACAGTGTTTATAATTAGACAAAAATAAGAATTGAAAACCACAGGTTTCAACGCTAAACCCGCTCCATGGTGTTTACGTAACCCCAGGGTCACCAGCCTCCCCCTGTGGTCTTGAACAGGCACCGCCAGTTGCAGAAGGAGGGAGAATATCGGCAGGGAAGGCTTAGAGAGGTGTGGGCTTTGTTTGCAGTAATACAAAACAACATTATATATAGCATTTCAACACGGAATTAGCCTCCAGTTCAACATTTCCACAAGGCTGTGGCATTACGTAGAGGTCTCGTCGGTACAACTCTCTCGCAGAGCAGATCGGATCGCCCTTTTATTTTCGTTCTTCTGCCTGCAACAACACAGGGTCTCCAGTAAATTGACATTTGTGTTTGTATTTCACTTAAAGATACGTTTACAGCACATCCGTCTCCCGCGTGCACCACTCGTTTTCAGGGGAAGCTGGCCTACTCAACACAACGACTGTTCACCTATAATGCAATGCAGCTATATATACTTTAATTTGCGGGACACTACCAACACGAGGTTGCACCACCATGGACAATGCCCTCTTCAGTGTTCTAGATCCGTATATGGCAGAAAACTTCAAAACACGTTCGATTATCTATTCACGCATTGCGTCTCAAAGTTGCTTTCGCGGTCACGCGGTACTGCGTCGCATTAGCAACAGCGTTGTTGCTTTCGTGATGCATATTGTTGTGATTCGTTGGGGTGTTTGCTGCGAGGAAACGCTCGTTATAATCATATATTCCCAATCATTGAATCTTTTATTTCCCCACAACGTACTTTTGAGGAACGATTTCGATTTCCATGACCACCGTCCTGCTGTCAAAATGAACCAACACCTTTTATGGTGTCTCATGAGCGAGTATTTAGGCACCCTAACCAAGCGTTAGGAGTATCCCTCATCGCCAGTTCTGCTTACCAAAAATGGCCCACTTGGAGTTCATATTAATCCCAGCAGTTCAGTGAAGTAACCACTGGATCTTACCCATTTAAAGTTTGAGAATAGGTCGAGGACGACGCGTCCCCGAGGCCTCTAATCATTCGCTTTACCTGATAAAACTAATTGAACTCCAGCTATACTGAGAGAGACTTCGGAAGAAACCAGCTACTAGACGGTTCGATTAGTCTTTCGCCCCTATACCCAAGTTTGACGAACGATTTGCACGTCAGTATCGCTACGAGCCTCCATCAGGCTTTCGCCTGACTTCACCCTACTCAGGCATAGTTCACACACTGTTACCTTTACAGCTACTTCACCTGCTCAATATATGCTGCATACATACATACGCCTGTATGCACGTGTGCAACCTTTATAAAGGAATACCATAGCTCCTGAATGTGTGTATTTAGCTGTTACTCACCAGCATCCGTCTCTACAATTGAACGCGAATGTGTGTATTTGGCTGTTACTCACCAGCACCCGTCTCTACAATTGAACGCGTTCCATCGTCTGAAACGTTTGTATGGCGACA